AAAGACATTTATGCTAATGTACCTGTAAATTAAAATGACATACAGTAATAAATTGGTGTAGCAATCATAGTTAACCTCTTGAGTATGATATAACATAGCCCTTTGAGTAGAATGATGTAGCCCCTTGAGAATGATAGTATAACCCCTTGAGGAGTATGATGACAACCCATTAGTATGACAATTTAACCCCTTGAGTAGGATGATGATAACCCCTGAGTATGATGACTTTACCCCCAAAGTACTCATAGGTTAATAGGGATGGTACAAGAAGGTAGGAACTGCCACATCAACTTCTGTGCTGTTCTCCAAAGTTTTTTGTAAGTAGAATTTTTACTATAGTACAATATTTCTTACTATTTAATATCTTTTCTATTAAATTTTGTCTGAACTTGAGAATATTTTTTTGTCATTACTTAATTCTTATGAGGACAGATTAAGGCAAGTTGTGCTTTTGCTTTTTATGGGGCATGTTTTTGAAGACTTACCCATCTGTGACTTGAGGGATGCCTGTCTTGAAAATAATCAAACTTGAAATTACGGAAAGGGAATCAATCACAAGAAAAGGCAACATTTTAAATAAATGAGATTGAAAAGTCTTTTAAAAGATTGTGTGGATTTTATAAATGTAGTTATTATTATGAGATAGGCTAGGAGTCATCAATTAAGAATTTGTGCTTTCTTCATCATTAATCCCACTCCTAATTATTTTTCTTAAGTCCCCTATAGTATATGGTTTGGATTAATAATTGCCTGTGTAATGTCACACTGAATTCACCTTTGACTTGACTGCCATGCTGTACAGTATATTTGAATTTATGTAACTTTTCTCTCAGCTACCTGCCTTATTTTACATTTGAGATATTAATTCGTGTGTCATGCTAGTAAATTTCACTTCTCTAGCAAACAAACTGGTAAATGTTCCAGATATTGAGTTTGAGAACCTGAACACTAAACCGTTCAATGATGAAGAATTAGTGTTAAAAGAATTGTTCATGAGGTGGGAAGGAAAAGTTCCTCAGTTGCACATGTACTGTAGTATGTCTGTGTATCCAGCGAGTAATTTGCAGTTGTACAACAGTATGGTTTACATTAGTTAGGCCTACTGATTTCTCTTGCTATACATGATGAAAAATATTGCAAATTAGTTTAGAAATCACACTGGTAAAGCATCTGCCTTTCATTACACTAAGCATGAAGAGTTGCTGAGGCAACCGTGGAAAATAACATGACTGGAACTAGCATAACCAAAGGGGTAAAGAAAAAATCCTTTTTTGCAATATTTTTAAGATAAATTTACAACATAAGCCAGACCAGAAACTTGCTTTGTAATGGAAATACTGTATGATATATGCAAAGTAACAAACTAACAATAGTGTGAAGGAATTAGTATTTACATACTAAGTTAGATAGATTATAATTCATGTTAGTTTCACCTGTTGAGAAATGTTAACCAGGTCCTGCAGAACATTAAAATAAAATGTGAATACGGTAATAATTGTAAAAGTGCAATATCCTAAAGTAGTTTAGGTGATGCATTGGTCTAATCTGTATAGTGATAACATATTTTGAATCGGTAAAATAGTTGCTAGTATGTCTTACTAAAACTTGTAGATGATTTGCTTGAATTACTTTTCAGTTACCGTACTGTACCTGTAACTGTACAGTTGTTGAATTTGGGAAAAAAGCTTATTTCTGCTTATGTATTGTCACAGTCAAATACAATATTATTCTTAGAATTGAAAACAGATTAATAACACAAATGAAACCACAGAGGGTACTAACTGTAGAGAGTTTAGTTTCTGCAGTGTGTATATGTTAGTATTGTACAGTTGAAGATAATTTTACCAAGGTTGTAAATTCTTTTGCATGCTAGAAGATGGTGGTTGTCCAATGCACACTAATAACCTGCAGTTTACTGCTCAAATTCTTTCCATTGCTGAATCATTTTATTAACTGACTGTTCCAAAAATTATTTTCATTATCTGATTTACTTCAAAATGTTACTCTCAATTAAATAGTATATTGATAGGTGCATAGTTCTTAGAAATATTTATATACAGCTTTATAAATGAATACAGTGTTTGATAATACAGAAACAAAACTATCTAAAATGAAAGAAGAAGCTTCATGCATTAGTCATGTACTGTATCTTTAAGTTATGGACACTCTTGATTACCACCACATGTTTCTGTGAAGTTTTTGGCTAATCAGGGATTTGAAAGAAAGAAAAAATACAGCAACACTTATATTTACCACAGCATACAGTAGGTATCAGTATAATACAGGTACATAAAAAACTTTTAATTTGTCTTCAAGTACAGTATTTGGAATTCCAGGTACATTCATAGTTTTGGAGCTTCAATTATGGTTTATGTGCAGAATCAACACAATGTCGAAATGCAATTAGACTAATAAAGGTACACCTGTACTGTATTCTTGGAGTGAAAATTAATCTAAAAGTTAAGAAAAATACTGTACTACTGCTTCTTGTGTAAACACAGGTTTATATAAATTGTATTAGTTTCTGATATAGTACAGGATAGTGTACTGTACATAAATTTGAAGGAAAAAAAGGTTAATAATTTAAAGTGATATTGAGGTAAGTCCACCAGTTTAGCTTTGTGTCCTTTTCAGGGGAAATATCATATTTTTGTTATTGTATTAGGGTTTGCTTTATCTTATATAATAAGAGGTCCAAACAACTGTGGTGTTGAAGAATTGATTAATCTTTACTGCTGAAGGGAACATTCTTGGACCATTTCAAGTACAGTACCGTATATCTTTGATTTAATAAAAGCTACTGTGTATACTTGATTAAGTTTTAAATACAGTTTAATAAGTTTAGTTAAGGGTTTAGAATTAATATTGGACAAGTATATGGACAATAGATGCCTTCTTTAATAATATAAAATACATTGTATAGTACATATACAGGTATTGCTTTTCATGATGCAGGTATTGCAACATATACAAATTATGATCAATAGGATGTATTCTGTGATGTTACTCATAATTTTTTATCCTTATTATATACAGAATATCTCATTTTCAAATAAATAATATATCATTATTTTTTTTTATCTAACCCATATTGCATGTTATTAAATACTATAATTTGGAAGCCAATGAGGATAAAAGATAAAAAGGTTAAGTGAGATGGATTGATTTAATTTTTTTAAAAAGAAAGCTTATGAAACGAGTATATATATATATATATATATATATATATATATATATATATATATATATATATATATATATATATATATATATATATATATATACTGATAGCTTTCATGTAATTCATCTTCAGGTTTCCTGTCACATGCACCTACAGTGATTTACTTGCTATATATATATATATATATATATATATATATATATATATATATATATATATATATATATATATATATATATATATATATATATATATATATATATATATATATATATATATATATATATATATATATATATATATATTTTTTTTTTTTCTTACAGTATCAAAGACTTATTTGTCTTCATGAGAAACAAAAACCATTTTTAAAATATGCATCAAACAATGTCAAGGTGTTTGAATATGTGTAAATGGGAGTCTAATGAATATTGAAGTCTTTTGTTTTTAATTAATTATTGATGAAATAACATTTGTACAGTCACTAATGTATGACTGAAGTAGCCACTCCTTGAAAAATTAACTGCTACAGTCTACGGCAACTATAATCATTAAGTCCACGGGGCTAAAAACTGGCCCCTAGAGATTCAAACCTTGACTTGAATAAATTGAAATATTAAATTTGAATGTTAAAATGTTCATCAAAATTCATTTACACACCAGACACTTGGTATGACGGTACCAGTGCAGTACCTTGTTGAGGAGAAGGTGGTGTCTTAAGCATATGTGTTTGTGGTCCACTGCTGTTTGGCTCAGTTAGAAGACCTTGACAAGTGAATCAATAATTCATTACAGAATGGAAGGAGGATGGCGAGATTAAGTAATTTAGTAGTGAGTAAGGCATTACACTATGTCATACCCTGACACTATTTTAGGAACACGGGAAAATTAATAAAAGACATCAAGTTTTGTAGGACTGTGAATGAAAGGGGAGAGAAGAAGTCACTTGTTGATTTTCCTTTGGGAAGTATAATAGTGAAAAGAGAGAAGCTGATGTGACTCAGTGTAATGAATAATTTTGCAACTAAGGATAGTTTCAACAATTAGAAATACATCATGTGATGTCCGTAGTAGGGATAAGCTGGTGACCCTTTTTTGGTGTCAATATTAACTACAATATACTTAATAGTGCAAAGAAAAATGAAAAGTAGAATTGTTTTGGTGAAAAATTTGTCAGATTTGAGAAACACCGGGAAGTTAGTCAGTCTGGGATATAAATTACAACTTAATAGTATTGAAACCACAGCATAAGTGAGTCATGGTTTAGTTAATGTGATAACTGAGCAAGTACTTTAAAAAGTTTTGTTAATTAAAATATTGGTCAATCTCATAAAGAACTAAGTGATCTGGGTTTCCTTGACTATGCTAGTAGCAAAAGAATGAGTGTGTTGCTAATACAGTAGTATATATATAGGATGTATAATGCCCTGGCAGCGAGTCTAGTACACTAATACTGTATTTGACTTACCGGTAATCAAATTCAATTGCATACTCATATATATATATGTGTGTGTGTGTGTGTGTGTGTACAAGTATCATGCACACCCACAAAAAAAAAATTATTCGGCACCCTTACGGAGTGATACAATATAAAACGGGTGCCGAATAATTTTTTTTGATGGGTGAACAGGTATGTAAGAGAGAGGTGCCGTGGATGGTATGTGAAACGTGCGGTATTTGTTGACATTTACTTCTCGGGCTTATATGAGTAAGTAAGCCAATCAGAAATCAGCTTCGATCTGACCGGCCAATCACAACAGTCAGTCCATGATGTTTTGGCGACGGTCACTATGGCAACGTATAGCGAGTGGGTGATGCCAAGGTGAGGTGTTGATAGTGCAGGTGGTGTTAAGCTCGTGTATTGAGTAATGAAGTGCCGTAAAGAATTATCCCCCGGGAAGAAATACGGTGTAAACGATTTGATGTACCTATGAGTTGTGATATTGTTGTGTATAGTTTAATAGTTGTCTTAGTCGGAAGCTGTTAAGTTAATGCTCGCCCGAAAAAGTTGTGGGAAACTTTTCGGTCTTGGAGTAGACAAGTGGATGTAACTGTCAGCTCATTGTCTCTCCTGTCATTATTGCAGGTAAGAATACAATAGCCATATAATATGATACACTGTATGCTTGGTGTTAATATGTATAGCTAGTAGTTTAGTACCGTATTTCAACTACCGTACATTTTCATTCACTAGATTAATTTCTTATTTAGAGTCATCCTCACAGTTTTTGTTTTTCATGTCAATTTATTGCTAGGCTAATCATCTTATGTAACACTAGTGTTTAAGCACAAGTAATATGAATTATAACAGTTCTATTTTGGCCACTGATAAGTTACTAAATGTAATGAAAATCTGAGAAACATGTAGGTGTTCTTGTGACTTATACTGTACTGTTGATACTGTGATGCAATCGTTTGTGAATGTTTGTACTGTACAGCATTTTTTCTAGTCTTCCATTTATATTAGAAACATTATAGTAATGATAATAGTATTGCTAGTTCATTGTCTATAACAAATTTGTACGTGAATATACACCTTACTATGGGTCACAGCTCAAGGTTGAAGAAGCCACAAATCCAGAAAATTGTGAGGGCAAACTTTTTCGGAGTGAGAGCTGTAAACTCTTGTTACAATCTAACAGAGAGTGTTGTGACGGCACCGAGTGTGAGCTCTTTCAAGACAAGACTTGACCAACACTGGAGCAGGTTCAGGTACATTCTTGAGCCAGTACTTGCCAACAGTGTGTAACAGAGACATGACCAACCGCCCAAGTGGCCAATGAGCCGATCAGTGGCGAAGAGGCTAAAAGTAAATATACCAGTACTTAATGGACCTATTGTTGAAACTATCCAAAAAACTCTCCAGGATTTACTTAGAAGTAGAAAGTAGACCGTGGCCTCTGCATCTTGGGTCTTTGTCATTCAGCCACAGTGCTGAAGGTGTGTGTGTGTGTGTGTGCCATTTCTAAAGTAAATTCAAAAGCATATTTTCAGTCCAGACAGTGGACCCATGAATTACAGTGTAGTACTTTTACATACTGTATACAGGTAGTATAAAAAAAATTTAAATCTGTCCTCAAAACTGTTAATTTAGTGGTATACCTCTGTTCTTAATACAGTACATTATTGATCTGTACTTTTTGAAAAGCATAAAAAATTTTGTGCAATATTTTATTGTACTGGTACTGTACAGTACTTGAATCATATTGCCTATACCCAGTTCAGGTATATGTGTGTTGGCTTCCTAAATTTTGAAATTTATTTGTTTAGAAGGTATCTTTTATATCTTAACACTATAGTACCTGTTGTATGAAGTATTTGCGTGATAAGGATTTTTTTAACCAGCTCATATGAACTTCGGGATTAAGTTTGTCAAATGTCTGAAATGGCTTTTTGGACTTAATAAAGCCTAATTTCGTTCCGAATTTTCACTAATGTGTTTGTTATAGTGCATAGAATGCAAATTTGATGGGGAAGCAAGGAAAAACCAACTTTGTATTTACTTTGGAAATGGCACGTAGACTGTGACCTTTTGTGCTTCAGTGCATTGGTGAAAATTGTAACTGTATTTTGGCTGATATTAAAAGGGACAAGCAACTGAGTAGTGCTGAACTTGGGTATGGATCTCAGTAATTTTAGTTCTCTTAAAATGAGACACGGCTCAGCAGTGGTTTGTTTTATGAAGCACTGAAGATTAGTTAGTTATGTAGTGCAGATTTATAGAAGTGTATTCTGTAAAATATTCGTTATACCATACAAGTTTACATTGATTCAACATTTCTATAGACAAAGCAGGTATACATTATACATAGACATTACAAATATACTGCACAAATAATATATAGTACTGTACAGGTACCTAGGTGTAGAGTCTTTGGCTTGCTTGTCAAATCCTTAAGTAGCAATATTGAGTAATTTTTCTGTATGCATCCTGACAGTATTTAAATTTTTTGCATTAAAACAAATGTTATAGGAACATCCTGAAAGGAAAAAAAGAAGACATTATTTAGTCCACAGTTATTTTAGATATTTTTATTAAAGCTTTAATTCCTCTTTGGTTCATTTTGATTAGGAAGTTCTGAGCATTTTTATCATTATTGAAAGTGATCATTTTTTGGAGGGTCCTTGGACATGAGAAGGAATACTGTACTGTATAACAATATACACTCGGTACCGGTAATGTACTGTACTAATATTTAAGCAAGGAAATTCAGAAGGTTTTTCTATGGCGAGATCCTCAGTCAAGTGTCGTGTCCTATATTTGTATATATTTTTAAAGAATGTACCAGTATTTCATGTCTTATTACTTTTCTGAAATTTTAGATAATATGAAACAGAAATATCAAGTGGGAAATACTGTATATACATAATGGCCTTTCAGTGAGTGTCTCATTAAAACTGTTGACCAGCAAAGCTGCACCTCTCAATGGAGCCATTCTGTTTGCTTATGGTATAAGTCTAACACTGGGAATAATGTACAGCACAGTACAGTATATGAAAAATTTTCTTAAGAAAAAATTAATTCAGTAGTACTGTGCTGTGCTGTATTAATCTTAATCAGGAAATGCAAAAGTAGGTGACCTGGGAGTCTCATGGGTAATCCGGTAAAGTTGCCATGTACTGTGTGTAATAGGTACCTGTAACTCCTGTTTCTCTATACTGTACATCATTAGGTTAGTGTAGGTATTTATCAGAAGAGGTTCAGTGGATTGTCTGAAACTTAGCATGGTGCACTCTTTCCCTCCTAGAGATGATGTACTGTACCGTACATGCTATGCTGTATATACAAAAATACAGTCCATATTCTGTATAAAAATTAGGTGATAAAAGACTCAACAATAACTTTTAAAGCTTTTGTGAGTTTTATTTGCTAACGGATGGGTTATTACCAATTACCTGTACATATTTGTTGGGTGAATATTATTCAAGGTTTGTTTGGTGTTTTTGTAAGATTTATTGTAAACACTTATCAGTACAGGTAGTACATTACCCCATATTAATGTACATTAGTGAAAAACATGAGAAGAGTATGTACTGTATGCACAGAGAAGCTGTAAAAAGACTTATGGATAAAAATGTCATATTAAGCGGGAAACTTGCCATGTATAATGAGTGATAGATTGTTGGAGAACATTTTTGATTCCTTAGGGCTCAGGGGGTGAGATAGACTTCGTGCCACATAAATTTACAGGAATTAATGAATTTGTAATATTGCATCTGTGCATTAAAAGCACAACAGAGACGTTTACTATAGTCATTGTCACTGCTCAAGCAGCTACATAAACAGTTTAACAAATCGCTCATTTAAAACTTTTGAAAAAAAAGTACATGATAAGAAATTATTTATCTTACAGTGCCACCATCCTAATATATATATATATATATATATATATATATATATATATTCGGTTAATGGACGTTACAGCGTAAATATCCTGGTAGACCAAATCCAACTCGGTAGATAGCATACAATAGTAGCACGCACTAAAACCTTTGGGTAACCGGGTCATCTTGGCGTATACCTAATGGAGTAGCGACTCTGCCATAACAGCTAAGAGGGCGCTTGGAGGTCCTGCAAATAATTCCCTGTTCCACATTGTAAAAGTAGGTTGGCGATACGAAGGCCACCCAGCCGTAAAACTTGCTCTATGTCTGGGGGCAACCGGGACACCAATGCATCAGGTTATCATGGCTAACTTACGCAAGCGTGGAAAATAGCCGCAAAACGTGATGATAATGTTTCCTAGAATATTTGCTTTAATGCATTTTATCATTTAGAAAAATTCCAAACAGCCCGTCAAGATTTAGAGTTGTCTCTCACTTTCTTATCCATCATATTTTTTACTTACTGCATACATTTATTCGTAATTATGTGACCAGCAATGGCCACGGGGTTCGTTGGCACACACACAACAAGCGCGACTTGTTACGGTTGGTTCCTGTGTCTTTTATCTTTGTATACTCCATTGAGCTCGACGCGATTATTCACCTCATGTGAGCGTGTTGGAGTGTGCTGTTTGATCTCTCTTATGGAAGTAATCTGTCATTCGAAGACGAGTCGTGGCGAGGACCTGCCAACCAACTGGCGACACAGAATGCCATGAGAATCATGGGGATTTGGCGAAAACTAATCTAATCTCCTTTGTGTTTATTCAGTTTTTCTCTCCAAATTTTATTTTATATTATTTATTTATTGGGATTTGGCGAAAACTAATCTAATCTCCTTTGTGTTTATTCAGTTTTTCTCTCCAAATTTTATTTTATATTATTTATTTATTGGTTTTAATTCACATCCCCCAAATTACGATTTCCTGGGAAATATGGCCGAAAAAGCAATCTTTTGAGAGATATAAAATTAGGGTAATTTTTTTCTTCTTCTCAAAAACCGTTTAACGAACGCATATCTCCATAACACGGAAAACGGTGTTTTTTGGGATGTGAATTTTTGGCCAGACATACAACTTATGGAGTGGCTGGCTGTTCAACCCACCCCAGATTCACATATGACGCTCCTTCGACATGTAACCTGATTAGTATTGAGATTAAATATTCTTTCGACTATTAATACATGTTTACAGATACTGACAAAAACAAATACTCGGAAACTGCTTTATCAATGAGTTCCCTTTAGCCACGAGAGTAGTGCCACGGTGCCACATGGATAAGGGAGGCATTATAGGGGGTAACAGCACAACTGGAGGTCACTGTACATTTAATACTGAATACTGATTTATTTATTTATTTTTACTTAATTTCCGGAAAAGGTTTAGGATCAGCAGCAACACAAAGGGGGGTGAAGGGTCTGTCAGGAAACCGGAAACGCATTTTTTTTATGATTTAGTTCTGGTGCGAAAAAAAAAACCCTGCTAGGATTTTTGTTCCGATCTCAGTTTCTCTATGTTGCTGTTCGTTAGCTGTGGACATTGTTGTGTGACGGACCAGTGTTGAAGTGGAAGGTTGAATTTAATGTGAAAAGTCCAAATAAGAAAGAGAAAAGGAAAATACCACACACCTTCCCGTACACAAAGGTATATATCCACCTGTCTATACGTAAGTGCAATTCATACATGCCAACAAAGGTACCGG